GGGGTCTTCGTAAGCCGGGGTTCCACTGTATTTGATTCAGCCAGGCAAAGTCTTGTTTTTGTTCTGTTACCTGAGCAGTCTGAGTTAGCCAGAATCCAATATTTAAATTTTGTTTTTATTTGCAAGTCTGTTTTTAGCCTGCTCATGCTGTTTTAACTATAAAGACAATTCTTTCAGGTACCTTTGGCACAAAAAGAGCACATCTCTGGTTGAAAGGATTGGCAGCCTCTGTATAAGACTCGTCATAATAACAACAAGACATTTTATACATTCACTTCTTTATAATCACTTTGTGCCCAATTTTTATGTAAATCACAACATGTTAGCTTTTGTATAATTTTCCAATGCTCGTCTAAACGGAGCGGCACGCGGTGGAAAAACATGGTTTCCTTGGATTCAGCTAATCCTGAAACCTATATTCACGTTTGTGTCAGTTTATTAATTCCTTTGAGTGTCATATGCTGGGCATACAAATGCAGCTTAAGGAAGGTAATGTATTAGTGGTTCTGTGCTATCAACTTCTATGCCAAAGAATATTAATTAAATTTGGTAATTTGAGGCAGATGAGCGTCAACTATCAACAGGGGGCACAATGGAATGTAAATACAAAACTATGTTACTACCATAAAGCTCAAAAAGGTCAAAAGTGTTTCTTAAAATGATTTTTGCTTGGCATCTCGTCCTGTTCTACACTATAAAGCCATCCTAATGATGTCAGGCGTAAACAAAATGCAGTATAAAGAGGCTACCAATCTTCCTAACCATGATCTTACTGCTCGCAGTCATCACAATAATGTAGTCATACAACACACTTTAGCTGTTTTTAACAAAGTGACACATTGGAGGTTCAGGAAACAAGCAGGTATCAAGTGGTCTGTGGAGTTTAGGAGTGGTATACAGGGTGTGGATTTCTCTCTGCAGTTCTCTGAAACCCAGGAATGTAGGTTCAATATATGACATGATACATCACACATGGCATATACTGTACCAATGTAGCAAGGAGATAAAGTAGGGGAAATAATGATTTAATCCCCTGTTGAATTTGTAAGTTTGCTCACTTACAAAAAAATGAACAGTCTCTAAATATTATAGAAATTTCACTTTAATGTAGAAAGAAAGGATATCAAGCAAAAAAGCACAGCTGCCCACAGAATCAGTTTCTTCCATTCAAACTTCTCCACCACCAGCAACACCAAAGAGCTGTCAAAGGATGTCAGGGACAAGACCGTAGACCTGCACAAGGTTGGAATGGTAGATCATAATCAAGAGGTTTGGTGAGAAGGTGACAGCTGTTGGTATGAGCTCAGTCATACCAACATCAATCTCAGTCTGCTCCCATTTTGGAACTCCACGCAGGATGACTGTAAGCTAATAAAGTCCAAAACTCCACAGCAGGCGCTTGTTAATGATCTGAAAGCAGTTTGGAGCACAGTCACCAAAAACACAATTAGTAAAACACTACGCCCTAATGGACTGAACTCTTGCTGCACCCGCAAGGGCGCCTGCCACAAGAAGGGGCACATACAGGTCTGTCTTAAGTTTGCCAGTGAACATCTAAATGACTCAGAGAAGGCTTGAGATAAAGTGCTATCATCAGGAGCCAAAGCTGATTTCTCCGGCATTAACTCGACCCGCCATGCTTGAAGAAAGAGAAATGCTGAATATGACTTAAAGAACACCATCCCCACAGTCAAGCATGGAAGAGAAAATATTATGCTTTGGGGCTGTTTTTCTGCAATGGAACAATTTTACCACATACTGTAAAATCTAGGACAAAACAAACCTTCTCCCAGACAGAACACTAATTCTGTCATTGTCGCTTCTGTCATTGTCACTGTCAAGTCATTGTCTCAGCATGCTAACGAAACAAAACACAAGTTCCCCTGTTCCAAGAAGAAGTAGAGCACATTCAGATAATGCCTAGTGAAACTCCAGACTTCGGTTTTATAGAAAATCTGTGGAAGGAGCTGTCAAGTGGCAGCAAAAAACTTTCTGTAAAGAGGAGTGGGCCAAAATGTGTGCAAACCTGGTGACCAACTACAAGAAATGCCTTACCGCTGTGCTCGCAAACAAGGGATTCTCCACCAAGTAATAAATCAAGTTTAGCTTGGGAATCCAATACTTTTTTCACTCAATGGCCTAAAAATTAATTTTCTCTTGTGTAATTTTTCTGTATTTTTGGTTGATCTTCAGTCTCTCCGT